ACATGAAATTCTTCAGTAAAGCATGAAAAGTTGGTGTGTTACTCATAAACATTTGACTTGCAGATGTTCATTGTGGAAAACTGAAGATTCTGAAATCGTCCTGATTGGTTACTTTGCAAAAGTCAGTCAGTGGCATGTCAAGTAACATGGTGCTTTAATATACCTACTTCCAAAACAGTTGAAGTGGTTTTGAATAATTCTAAATGTACCTCAACAAACTTCATGGATTTGCACAATAAAAAAAAAATCCATAAATGGGCAACCAAAAATAGTTGAGGGTCTAATGTATTTTGCAAAGTGAAAACAATACAAGAAAGGGTTTAATATTTCTTATAGTAAATCTGACTGACTAATGACAAATTCTCACTTTTGTATATTTGTTTCATGTGGAAATTCAGTTTACCAGCATAAAAAAACCACTTTTTTCTCCATATCTCATGTGAAAAACCAGGCTCCTGAATGTGGGTTCTAATGAGAATAATTAAGTGACCAATATTAAGGAACATTTTTTCACAGGTTTGGCTTTAAAGTGGCCCCTGACCTATATGGGTTTTCATGTGAATTATCAAATTATCCTTTTGATAGAAGCTTTTTTCACAAGACTAGCAAGAAAAAAGTTTCTCACCTGTATGAATTCTCTTGTGACGATTTAAATTACTAATTCGTGAGAAACTTTTTCCGCATGACAGGCATGAAAAAGGTCTCTCACCTGTATGAATTCTCTTGTGGTCCTTTAAATTACCAATCTGAGAAAATCTATTTCCACATATCTGGCATGAAAAAGGTCTCTCACCTGTATGAATTCTCTTGTGGTCCTTTAAATGACCAATTCGAGAAAATCTCTTTCCACATATCTGGCATGAAAAAGGTTTCTCTCCTGTATGAATTCTCTTGTGACGATTTAAATTACCAATTCCAGAGAAACTCTTTCCACATATCTGGCATGAAAAAGGTTTCTCACCTGTATGAATTCTCTTGTGACGATTTAAAATACTAATTTGTGAGAAACCTTTGCCACATGTTTCACATGGAAAAGGTTTCTCACCAGTGTGAGTTCTGTAATGGATTTTCAAGTCACACTGTTGTGTGTAACATTTCCCACAAATGTCACATTTGAAAGGTCTTTTCTTTGTGCCAGTATCAGACTGACTCTCTGACTCAGAGGAGCTGCTTCCTTCCCGATTTTTGCTCTCAACCACTGGAGAGACACGAAGGGAAAGCTGCTCTGTTCTTGTCTCTTCTTCACTCATATCATCTCCCTGAAGAGTAGAAGTCTCAATCAAAGCAACAAACTGCTTCTGGACAAGCTGCTCTCCCTCCTGACTGCTGCAGAGGTCCTTCTGGTCCTGTCCA